AATGATTATTCCACTAACCAGAATTAACCGGTTGGTTAATGCAGACGCAGCAAGTTTCTTGTGAGACAGAAAGGAAAAATTTAAAAATTACTTACTTATTTACTCACTCATGGAGCTGAGCCCTTCTTGAGAAGCTGCCAATTCTGCAGCTACTCATTTCATGGAACCCGAAGGTTCATTACCGTGTTCAAAAGAGCCGTCAACTTGTCCATATCCTGAGCCAGATCAATCCAATCCTTACCATGCCATCCTATCACTCTAAGATGCACCTACGTCTTGGTCTTAACAGTGGTCTCTTTCCTTCTGACTTTTCCACCAATATCCTATGTGCATTTCTTTTCTCCCCTATTCGTGCTATATGCCCTGCCCACCTTATCCTCCTTGACTTGATCATTCTAATTATAGTTGGAGAAGAGTACAAGTTATGAAGCTCCTAAAAATTTTAAAAATTATTCAGAAAAAATTCGGGCTTCAAAGGGTTAAGGGCCTTCACTGAAAGTTACCTATCTGCAGGGCCTTTCTTGGAATGTGCACCTGTTATTATATCACCTATTTTACTCCACTTCCTCAGTCACACTCCTTGCCCATTCCAGACTTCGAACGCACGCCTATGCGAGCTTGTCAATGCAGCAGGAGAAGGAGGAGGAGGAGGAGGAAGAGGAAGGAGAAGGAGGAGGGAGAAGGGAGGAGGAAGGAGGAGGAGATGAATAAAATCAAAATTATGATGGACTGGGGAGAGAAGACAGGAGAGGAATACAAAAAGATAAACAAAAGTAGTAGTAGTAGTAGAAGGAGTAGTAGCAGCAGCAGCGGCATTTCCTCCACACCATCAGTATCGCCTATGGAACTACACCGTATCATTAATCAGAAAATCAGTCTTAATTTTCACCTCCTTGAAAAGCTCAAAAAGGCTTTGGGTTGCAAAAAACCCACGAGTTTTTGAATAGGCCGATTAGGATGACAGGGACTGCTGAAAGCAAAGGCTCACTGTTTCAGGGCCACACTGTGTGAGAGCAACTCCTGACACTTAGCCACGGCGGCACCCGAGGGCTGTGGGGAGTGAAAGTTGCTGTGAATTTAACTTGACAGAAAGACAATTCAGCACGCGTTTCTCCCTTCCATGTTAAAGTTACAAGGTGTATTTCTTTACTGCAGTGAACAGGAGCCATTATTTCTACCGCAACTACGCACTAACTTCAGCTAATCATGAAAAACAGGCTCTGACCTAACATAGTGCTTCCCAACAAGGACGCCTCTAGTTCGCTGCAGAAGTCTTGGAAACGCAATTTCTTCTCGTGCTCGCAGATGTTGGTGTGCCACGCGGGAGCGTAGTTGCTTGAGGAACTACTCTAAAAGCCGGATGGCAGTGGGTTCTATTCCCGATGAAGTCACTGGATTTTTAAATTAACCTAATCCATCCAGCCGCACAATGAGTTGTTAAACGTCTAGGCTTCCGTATTTTCCAGATACTCGGCTCATAGATGGCGGTGAGGTTGTCAGTCTTACGCGCCAGCCGCCCTTTACTCCCATGAAGATTCCTGGTACTCATTTCTGTTAGAAGCTGAGGCCACCATAATTCAGCTGGAAGGATTACGTCAAATAAAAAATCAAATGACTTCACCGTCAATCGAAACCGCGACTTTCCGGCTTGTAGCATAGTGCCTCAACCAATTACACTACCACGTGCCGTCACAAAATATGATTATATAATTTTTTTATATTAGGGTTCTTTTTGTTTAAACATCTTTCTAACTACAAAACTTTAGCGCATCAATATCTATAAAATTTCGTAGTTGCACACAGATTTTGTCCGTTATAACGAGAATTTACGTGTGGTTTAGGCCTATATTTATTTATAGGATAGTCAAGAAGCATAACGCATTTGAAGTAAAGTAGGTAGCGTAAGGACTTTCAAGAATTTCTTGCTTCAATAAGACTGCAGGACTATCGCCTCTCGATAAGAACATTAACGTTCCAATTCATTTCCACGGTAAGAACTACCTGCCCTATTGCCACTTCATCTCGGAGAAGCGAACTTGAAAGCAACACTCACCTACGTAACTGAAAGCATTACAGAAGACGAAGTTGGAAATTAACATGAAATTTCAATAACAAAGGAAGATATTTAATTGAAACATGGCCTCAATAATGAAAACGTTTTAAAATGTAATGAAACTAATTGAAATGTACATAGTTAGCTCCTGTAATGAAATGTAATGACAGGCGTTCAAGTTATATCAGAGATGATACCATAGGGTGTTTGTTAAGTTGTGTGAATGGGTCGGTTTCGGTATATTGTTATATTCACTTTGGTACCAGGATTAAGGCCAGTGATTTAAGAGATTAAATACTAGTATTTTCCGAGATGTGACTCCGTTTAGTCCAGTAGAAGCTCACCGAAATTTCGGAGGATCATAGTACCTCCATCTTCAGGGTCGATGAGTAAACAAACCATCTACCAGCGAGACAAAATCAGCAAGCATAGCGAGACCGAACATTAGTTCGAAACGTCTATGAACTTCTACCCAGATGACAGTATTCTTCATAACCATCTCCGTACGAACCACAAATACAACGGTTTAGGGTTTAGTGTTACGACACAGAGACATGAATGAGCGACCGCTTGCTTAACGACGGACAATTTGAGAAGCTAAAACCTGACCGCTAGCCGAAAACGAGATGATGACAATAAAATGCCTAGCAAAAACAGACTTTTAAGTGGTGGTACATAAAATCTGAGATACTCTCACCCGGACGAATTGTATGAGATCCGTGGTAGTCAAAACGGCTCTAAGACATGATCCGTGGTGGACGAAATGTCACCGAAACAGGATCCGTAGTAGAACAAACGGCTCTGAAATAGCGGTTTGTACGCTCGAAATAACGGATTAATTCTGAAGACTTTATTACTGCATTTTCGGCTGTATAGAGTAATTCTATAGCGCAATCCACACACTTTACTTCCTCCCACAATGCAACGCGTTTATTTTCTCCCTCTCTTTCCACTACATGATTCGGCTGTATAGGGCCATCACCAGGTGTCTACAATTTGCTAATGTTTCACTGCGTAATATGTGCCGCTTCGCCTATCACATGTGAATGTGTTACCTCACCTATACTACGCAATGAAACAGCTTTAGATAATAAACTGTTAGCATTGTAGACGGAAGTGTAGTGTGTGAATGAAGTGTATATTGAAGCAACAGGGTTATTAAATACTATATCATGATTCTATATTATTGTCGGTGTTTTCGTGGTCTATAATTTTCAAACCAGAAACAATAAAATAAAACTGTTTATGAAATATGAAATTTTAATTCAAATAGTTAATTATATGATCAGAACAATGCTTTGAGTTACATTTTCATATTCCTTAGGGAGCTTTATTTTACTGCTTCCGGTTTAAAAATTATAAGCCACGAAAACGCCGACTATAATTTAGAATCACCCTGTATATTTCACGTACATTCAAATGAATGTAATAAAAAATACATGAGGGATTGGTACACACTTTGAAGGAAGCGGTCGATGTACATTGTTAATTTTTATGTCTTTTGTGTGCCGAGACTGAGGAAAAACACGGCACATTAATTCAAGAGAACTATTAGCCAGTCCTATAAGTGCAACGTTGAGCTCTTCATACAAGTGCAACTTCGTCGGAGTTCGAACAACGAACTTGCATATTCACTGTACAGCGCTTCAGCCGGTTATGAGGTCAGCCTGGAACAGCACAGAGAGGTCTCACCGCGCCTCTTGAGTGAAACAAGCACATAACAAGACACAAAGATACGGCTAGCTAATGAACACATTATTTTACTTCCTCCATGTTTCAAGCGTTCCGTTTGTTCTGTGTACCTACACAGACACTGAAACTGTGTGTGAATAATACAGGGTGATTCTTAAAAATGTTAACATTTCGGTCTCTGTGAAAGTGCCATTTTCTTCTTCGATATTTCTTCCCTTCATGAATTCCTCGCATAAAATTTCCATCTCTAATGACATTCTGCTTCTTCCTCATCAGTTCCGTTAAATCCTTATTTCTAATTTGTAGTGGTAAACACATTTTCTGGCCGGTCACGGTACCCGAGCGGTCTAAGGCATGTACTGTCTTCGCTCGCTTGGAAACCGGGATCGTGGGTTCGGATGTTTCCTGTGAGGTACGAACTGAATTCTTATATATCATTCTTATACACTGCCGTCACGGTACCCGAGCGGTCTAAGGCATGTACTGTCTTCGCTCGCTTGGAAGCCGGGATCGCGGGTTCGAATCCCACTCAGGCCATGGATGTTTAGTTTGTGTGTGTGCGTTTTTCTGTGTTTGTGTACAGGTAGAGGCCTTGCGACGAGCTGATCTCCCGCCCAAGGAGTCCTACCGAATGTGTAAGATCTAGAAAAACCGAAGTGAACGGAGAAGTTCATGGAGGTAGGCCTAGGCCCACTGGAGCTGTAGTGCCAAGGAAAAAAAACAACACATTTTCTGGCATCAAGCGTGACTCCGTTGTATTGTCTGGCGATGTAAGCTGATGTGGTCCTTACTCGATAGAAGTCTATGTGCAGTCTGTCACTTTGAATTTTCTTCTTCAGCGTCCTTCTAATGGTAACGGTACTCCTGAAGTTAAATTCTTATTTCATTGTGCTTCCATGAAGTGGCACTGTGTGATCTGTGTTGCTCATGTCGAGAAATATGACGATTGACGTTTTGTAGGGTGTGATATTGCCTCCATCTTCAGGTTAGAGTGTGAGCGGGGAGTGCACAGAAGTATCACAGATGTCGGGAGAAGAAGGACCAGGAAGATCTTTCTTCTCATTCCTATTGGTCCACTCAGAGCCCTGAACCCTGTCCGTACGACTGCACAATTTTCTACCCTGAGGGCTGAGGCAGCAGATTTCTCCGAAATATTGATAAAGATCTCGAAACTACAGGGCGTCACATTCCAGAAGATAAAATTCTTCAAATTATATTCAGTTTAAAACAGTGAAATGCCTGCTTACTGTTACAGGTGTCCGTGCTTCGATTGCGAGGTGGCAAAGATTGGTTTGGGGAAACTTCCGATGGGCTTGCAGGAGCGACATCAAATCCCTGTAGGTGCCTGTAGTTCTCTGAACTGTTACATATGAGAACCTATTTGCGTCTATCTGCTATGAAATCGCCACTCGCCTCTTTACCTACCGTCCTTGTACTGAGCAAGTTCTATTTGCGAAACTTTGATTTCTTCTATTTCTTTTTTTGAAAAATATAGAGATATGTGGCGAAGGAAGGGGGAAAAAGTGAAGTCAGAAAAAAAGACTGGAACGATAAACAGGTCTACCAAGTTTAAAAAAGCCAGAAGTGCACACAATAGCGTATATTATATAGGTATATAGAAGTGAAAGTGTAGATGGGCAGAGGAAATTGAAGAAAGAGAGAGAGAGAGAGAGAGGGAGAAAGAGAACCGTTGAAAAGGAGAAATACGGAAACGAAAACGAGGTCGTGATAACAATACTGTAATACTGTAGGTTCATGGCACGTGAGAAATATAAAAGAAAGGTGATTCCATAAAAAACTAAAATTTACCCACTACGTGCAGCCATATAAAACATAGTAACACGTTTTTTTTTCTCTCAGCTGAAGGACATTTTTAGTACAAACAGTTTAAAAAAACAGAGCTGCCTTTCAATTTATCAATTCTAAAATAAAATGCCTGTAGCCGACTGCTTAGCACTGGAAAGGACACTCCAAAATTGCAGATTGGTTGATTGATCTGCAGTGTAAATGTGTGCCAGTCGTTTCTACAACAGAGAGATCTGATTTTATAGTAACTTCCTTTGGTCCCTTGATAAACAGTGGCAGCTGTGGGGGGAAGATGCTCTGTCATGAACCACGTCCAACTCTCCCTTTATCGCATTAAGGAACTTACTGTAGTAAGTTGTAGTAACGTGTACAGCTACGCAACGGCGCGATAAACGCCTTCTCGCTTAAGTCCGAGACAACAATACATGATCATTCCCAGGCAACGGCTCCGTAAAGAAGTTCCAACATGCAACAACGGAAGCTGAATTCTCAGTGAACGAATGTTACAGCTCGTTGCTAGGCAATTGTGTTGTAACACGTCGTTACAAGAATAGAACTGGTTTTCTATGTGGTCCGTGCCGAGGACTTCTCTTGAAGACAATTACCGTTACAACGCAGTCACCCGTGTGGAGGCGGGGTCGAATACCTCCACCGTGACCCTGCGAGTCGTAGGAGGCGACGAAAAGGGAAGTCTCAAATGTGAGACAGTAAAATATGGTCGCAAGTCCAAAGGGACTAGGACCCGAGAAAACCCGCGCTGCTAAGGACCAGCATCATATGCAAAAGACAGACCCGTCCTCTCGTCAGAGAGGGAGCCCCACAGAAACAAGACAGTAACAGTCGAGAAGCAATAAATATCTGGTCATGAGCCCCAGGAGGGTGCTCGATACCAATACTTATTGACTGATTGACCGTAAGTCGCAATGTGACTTGGACTATTCGAGAAGATCCGTCAGGAAGACGTCATTCAAGGCCACAGCTGATGTGTTAGTGTAATAACGAATTGTAGTTACGATGTGAAATTATCGAATAAAAATTGAGTTATCGAATCCGGAACCGATTATTTGCGGTCGCGTTACCAGGATATGCCAGGACTGGCTCTTCTGTCATCATTCTGTAATTATGTGTATTAGCAGATAGTTATAATAGGAGCAGCAGACGTCAAGAGTGAACGTTATGATTGAGTCGGCAATACATTTACAACATCTGAGAAAAGAATATAGTGGAGACAGCAGCAACGGTAGGCAGATACTATTGTTCTATCAAGTTTTGTATCATAGTATAAAAGTAGGCGTCTTTCCAGAACTTTCCATGTTGTTGTGGTTAGGTATTTTTCTCGATGAAAGTTTTTTAAAAAAAAAATCTTGTTGAAATTTAATTTCTAACTTTCGAAACTTGTGTATGAGTCGGTACTTGGCTGATTATATACAAAAAAGTAAGTTAAATTCTTATATTTGTTCAGTTAGTTGAATGAAAATAACTCAAAAGACGGAACTGCTACTGCCCTGTAATATTCTCATATCATTTCTTCTTTGCCCTGTACTTTCCATTCTGCATCTAATAAATACGAAAGTTTCTGAAAGGTCTACGAAATAACTCACTTGTTCCCTTTTGAGAACTACATTCATGTCACCCAGGTGCACCAACTTCAGGTAATATGCAAGGCAAACATCTATCAACGCTATGCAAAACCTTCCCCCCAAAGACACGTAAATTTTACAGCACAAAAGAAACAATGCTTTGTATAACTGGTCCCAGGACGTAAGCTGACAATAACGAACAGCAAATATTCAAAATTAAGAACGTAATTCCCTTCAGAGCACATAAAGCCGCCCTTATCCTGTGTTATGTCAGCTTTTCTTTCCTCAACCCGAACTTGGCTTTCCAGGGAAAAGTGGACTGAGTCCTATATACATCAGTAAAAAAAGTAAAAGTAAGTAAAGCTATCCCTGTAACATGCCTTGGAGGCTTATAGGTTTGTGAGATGTTGAGGTTCCCACATTTTCTAGACAATCGGCTCATAGATGGCAGAATGATTGTCAGCCCAAGGTGTCGGCCGCCCTTTACCCCCAGGAAGATTCCTGGTATTCATCTCTGTTAGAGGCTGAGTCGACCCTAGGGCCATAGTGCGGATGAAAGGATTAGGTAAATTGAAAAAATCCACCTCATCGGGATTCGGTCCCGCGACCTTCCGGCTTGTAGCATAGTGCCTCAACTAATTATGCTACCGCGTGCCCGACTTCCATAAATAAATGTACAGTTAATTCTATGTTCAACTGAGCAAGCACCACACCAAGAAGATATATTGGGGGAGTGGAGGTAAGGATGCACATGTTATTCATGATCGCCCTGTGGCAACCTCAGCGAAACGCTATGCTCATTCTACAACTAACGCGTACTGCCCTAAATTTGCCGTAGGACCTTCTTCCTGTTTGAAGAAACTCCATTACTGTTTCAGTGTAAAAGAATTATGGCTACTTTCGCACTGTGTATGTCTTGTGACATTTCTGTTAACCCGTTATGAAACGTTACAGTACGCTCGAAACTATGAGAGGGATTCTTTTTCGTGTGATTGATCGTTGACCTTGCAGCCTTAAAGATAAGGCGGGCATCATGAAGGTTTTAATTTCTTCTCCAGCTACAAGCAGGAGATGTTCCCGCATGAGTAATATTCAAGTGTTAGTAGGACCCTCTCTTCAGTGGCGGCTCCTGCACAATGTGCGTAATTTACACACGAGTAAAGTTCAAAAGTTTGCGTCTCCCGTGTTAAAAAAAAAGGCTCTGTCGTCTGGAATAAAGCGTCCCACAAAAGAGTAATGTTTAATATTAAAGATCTCTTGTTCCATTGGTTCATCGGCCTCAAATAAAACACAAGCGATTACTACAACACGAACGAGAGAATATTCGATAAGAGAAATCTTGAAGTAATGGCAGGTGTATTCAGTGATGGCCATGTTTAAGGCATGAAATTCGGGTCCCTTCGCAATTATAGGCACGCAGTACAAAATGTGGAGATCCCATTTAACGGGAAGTGAATCTGACCACTCACCTCAAGAAAGTTTGGATCTATAAATCACTCCCCCACACGTCTTCATAGCGTAGTGCTTAATTAGTTAAGCACAGGGACTTTACCTTTTACATATTTTAAATTTGTACGTTCCTGTGTGTCTCTCCGTCTCCATTCTAAAAGCGTAAAGGCCAAAATTACATATAAGTGCAATTCATTCTGAAAATTTCATAATAAAGAACTTCATACTTATCAGAAGGACGACTTCAGTTAAGATATAGGGAATCAGCATATTCTTCAAGAGGACCGAACAGATCACGTATCACCTAATCCATGCAGAAAATGATGAATAATATTCTTCATTAAACAATATTAAGGTGAAAAATAATGAAATATGATGGACTTGACATGTAGCATACATGGTTTACATTACAAACGCGCACAAAATTATTCTTAAAATCTGAAAGAAAATGACCACTTGTAAGATCTAGGCCCAGATGGGAGGTAATATTAAGAAGGACCTCAAAACTATAAACTGTAACGCTCATACGGATTAATGTCGCTCCAGATACGAGCCAGTGACTACAGGCTCTTCCGACTACGGGATTCGTGGTTTTCCAGTTCCTAAGTTAATATCTCCTATAAAGATGCGAGGATAATATTAAAATTGACTTTGAAAAAACAGGATATGAATGTGTGTACAGGGTTTTAATGGATCCAGAAATGGTCCAGTGTAGAAAGGTTCAGGCTTCATAAGGGAGAGGAATATTTCTTGCGTAGCTAATATCAGCTTACAGAATTACTGGCTTTTGG